TAGATATCTGTTACATGTCACGTAGTGACAGGTCAGCACCTTGCATGACGTCAAGGTCGCGTACTCCTCCCCGCGGTCCCCTCGCCACGGAGTACCCCCTCCCCGCTGTCCCCTCGCCCCGGGGTACCCCCCCGCCCCGCTCCCCCCTCGGAGCCCCATGGGTTAGAATCCCCCTATATACCCTACTACGACGTCTCAGCCGGGTCCCAGCTCAGCGACATCACCACCAAAAAAGACAGTCACTCTCCAGATGGTTCGCCAAGGCGACTCATCAACAGCCAGCTCATACCCGTGCGTTGCTGCAACGCTCAGCACTTCATTGTTATGTGCGCCAAATTTCGAGAACTCTCACCACAAGACCGGCACAAGGTAGCAGTAAATAAGCGCCTCTGCTTTAACTGCTTGGGGCGCCATAACGTGCGCTCGTGCAAAAGCCAGAGGGGTTGCAAAAAATGCACGGAGTGCCATCATACCATGCTGCAGGACGCACACCCGACAGCTTCATCCGCTCAGAAAACCGGTGGTTCGTCGATCACGCCCTCGAAGTGAAGAGACGGTGCAATCGTCGAGACTAGCTCACACGTCCGTTCATCCTGCTCAACGTTACTTGCCACAGCCTTGGAACTGATCAGCTCATCCACAACTCATCATTCAGCGCGTGTACTCATTGACGCAGGTTCAGAACTCACCTTCGTCACGGAGAATCTCATTCGACAGCTCAACATCCCTCGTCAATACTCAAGTATTGTTGTCACTGGAATTGGAGGCAAGGAGTGTACTCAGACACGAGGAGTCGTGTCACTTACTTTACGCTCGACACATTCCAACTCAACTGCCACCGTTCAAGCTCATGTCCTCAGTAGCGGGATTCTGTAACTCATTAACGACGAATATCGCTGTCGTTAACTATCGATGTCGATGATTATCGCTAAATGTTATTCTGCAACTACCAATTATCGACAAATCTCGATAATTGAAATCGTTAAAATTCGAAAAGTGTCGAAGCCGTATTGATACTTTTGCGATCGATACCGGAGGTCTCGCTAAGCCGTTAACGATAGTTTGTGATAAGTGTGTATGAAATATATGCATACGTGTAAGGTACGGTAAACGGTAATACGGATTAAAAGTAAGTATATATACTTCCACGTTCCTTGAACTGTTATCTTAATAATTTGTATATATGTATACAATAGGGGTATTCAGATAAAAGAAATTAAGTTAAGTTCAACGGTTTGACAGGTTATGTGGGGTTAAAAGCAGTATTTCTCAACACTTGATTTGTTTCCAAGCTGCTTTTAACCCGACATAACTTGTGAAACCGTAAAACTCAACTTAACTTTTATCTGAACTCTTTTATCTGAATACTCCTATTATTATATTTCGAACAATAATATTTAAGTGGTAGAAATTAATCTACCTATGCTATTTAAATATTGGTTTAAGAAAAAATTTTCTTCTATGTATTTTCTTCTATGTCCGTGGTTTTAAATGTCACAATATAACAAGATTTGGTTTCTCTAATAAAATAAGGTCTTAATTTTTTATTTTAGGATGGCTCTCGGCTATCTTGCGTTAGATTTAATGGATATGGAAGATCGTATCCAACACCTTGAACGAAGGGCACGACAAGTGCTGCGAATAACAGAAGATCCGTTTGATTTGACGCACAACGAATTTAGAGAGCTGTACCGCCTAACACCGGATTTAATGTTTGATCTTGTCGATATGTTAGAACCTCGTTTGCAGAGGACAAGGATTACCGGGCTGTCGACAGAAAAGCAAGTAAGAAAACTTGTAACCATATATTTGTGTTTTATAATATATTTGAATTTGTTTATGGTATTCGTATATTTATTCATATGTATGTACATTTCATACATATATTTTATATGTATAGATATTAGCGGCAGTGAGATTTTACGCAACCGGCTGCTTTCAATGCCCTGTGGGTGAGCAGTGGGTGTTTCGTATTACTACTACACCGCTCGATGATTCAAAGGGGGCCCATAAGCGCCCTTTTACTCTTGCGCACATTGTCATGCCCAACGGTAGCAGTGCCACGCGCGTTCTTTTTGGGGCACTATTGTAAAATGGCCAGTTGGCCACAGTTGGCGAATAAAACCCTTAGAGTCCACACGTGTCCTTTTAGTTACCGCATCCCACGAGAAATCCAGCAAAACTATATACATAAATTGGTCCTTCGAGCCGGATTACGGTGATAAGAATAGGCGAAGCAAACGCCACAAGCAAATTTTGAGGCATCCAGTGTCGCGAAAAGCCAAAATCGCGAAGAGGAATTCAACGGCGATCGGCACCAAAGCTCGATCGCATGTCGCTTCAAGGTCAAGCAAGACCATCTGCGAGCAAAGCAGTCGCGGACTAAAAGACAAAGCCAAAGTACAAGAAAAGTGTGGGCACACGCCAACCAGAACAAACGGCGAGCTGAAGCACACAAGCACAAGCTCGTCAAGCAGCGTGGCAAGCGCAACGGAAAACGCCATATTGGCGACAAAGGCCAAGCGGTCGGCGATCGAGGACGCGCCAGGCAACGGTGCGGCGAGGCAGCCAAGCGGTCGACGATCGAGGACGCGCCAAGCAACGGTGCGGTCGAGGCAGCCAAGCGGTCGGCGATCGAGGACGCGCCAAGCAACGGTGCGGTGGAGGTAGCCAAGCGGTCGGCGATCGAGGGCGCGCCAAACGGTGCGGCGGAGGTAGCCAAGCGGTCGGCGATCGAGAGCGCGCCAAACGGCGGTGCGGTGGAGGTAGCCAAGCGGTCGGCGATCGGGGACGCGCCGGGCAACGGTGCGGCGGGGCAGCCAAGCGGTCGGCGATCGAGGACGCGCCGGGCAACGGTGCGGCGGGGCAGCCAAGCGGTCGGCGATCGAGGACGCGCCAAGCAACGGTGCGGCGGAGGTAGCAAAGCGGTCGGCGATCGAAAGTGCGCGCCAAGTAACGTGCGACGACCAGTGAGTACATGAGCGTTCCTACTTCCTATCATTCATCCCTTTTTCCGCAATTAAAAGGTTAAATAATTCGCGTATCTGTATAGCCATTTTACGGTAAATTAAAATGGCTGAGTTGAAAACTCTAAATAAAACGCGCGGCACTCTAAAATCACGCGTAACTGTATTTAAAAGATTTTTAGAAAATACTAGAAACAATAACCCTGACGAAGCTCAGGCGTTAGACGACGATACTCAAGAGCAAGTAAGGGAAAGAGTATCCAAAATAAAAGGGGTGCTCAACGAATTTGAAAAGCGTCGGCACCACACTGCAAACGGACGCGGCAACCATCCGGAAGCCATGAAGACTAAAGAAGACAACAGCCGCGAAAGCCTGAAAGCCAAGAATTTGAAAAGGTTCAGGCTGCCATCGAGTCACTTTCCGACGACGCTGAAGCTAATCTACTAGAAAGAGAATCATTTGAAACAGATTACTATGAGGTGACTACAGGTGCTAACCAATTGTTGCGTCGGGGAGTAGCACAGGTACAACGTAGCAATCAACTTGAGGTAGGTCAGAAAGGAAGCGGACAAACCGACCAAGCCGGGCCGAATCCTTTCAGTACACGAACTGAGCCGATTCTCTCGCCTCTTTTTCAATCGATCACAAGCAATCCGACGGGTGTTCGATTACCAGTGATAGAACTGCCCAAATTCAAGGGGGAACTATCAGAATGGTTAAAATTTCGTGACACATACAAATCGCTAATTCACGACAACCCAAACATAACTAGTGTGCAAAAATTTCATTACTTGCAAGCTTCATTGGAAGGAGGGGCGTTCGAAACTATAAACGAATACGAATTCTCAGAAAACAATTACGAGGAAGCATGGCGTTCCCTTCACGATAGGTACGATAATCCTAAATTGCTAATTCAAAATCATATCGATTCAATTTTTAAAATAAAAGGCTTGGTCGGTGAATCTGCTGAGCAATTATTAGAATTGTTAGATAGCGTTACTAAGCATACGCGTGCGTTAAAAAGCTAAATGAGCCCATCGAGCATTGGGACTCTTTGTTAATCTATATAATCGTATCAAAGTTAGATTCCGTTTCCGCAAGGGAGTGGGAAAAGAAAAAAGCGTTAGTGCCGGAAAAAGCAAAACTAAGCGATCTAACCAAATGTTTGCGAGCGCGAGCGTTGTTGTTGCAAACCTTGCGAGTGAAAGATGATAAGGAAGCAAATAAACACAAGTTTAAACGCGGTCAACAAGAAAAAACCAAAACTTTCCACGCGGGGAAGGTAACTTGCGCGCTTTGCAAGGAGGGACATCACATTCAGGGATGTGAGTCATTTCTGAAGCTAGATACCCAACACAGACTTGAGAAATTAAAAACCCTTAAACTTTGTACAAATTGTCTCAGACCCGGTCACTTTGCGAAAACTTGTAATTTCGGCTCGTGCAAGTTATGTAGCGCGAAGCATAACACGCTTCTTCACTTCGAAAGAGGAAAGGCCAATACGGACAAAAACGCTGCACAAGAAGCGTCGATCGTCGCTTCCACAATGTGTTCAACGGGTTTCAATAAACCCCGTAAGGAAGCTAACACTATTCTATCCACCGCATTGGTCAACGTTTCAGGACGAAACCATATGAAGATGGAGGCGCGAACTTTCCTGGATTCATGTTCTCAGTCAAATTTTATAACGCGAAATCTGTGTAAAAAACTCAAACTTACGCAATCGCCTGTCAATATACAAATAGGAGTGCTTGGTCAACTTGGCCCGGGCGTTGATGGACAATGCGAAGTGGAAATCTCGTCGAAGCACAGCGGCTACCGATTCAAGATACATTGTCTAATCGTGGCTCAAATCACAGAAGATCTAATGCCAAGCTCGGCGTTCAGTCTGGAGTCTATGGGAATCCCCCCGCATCTCAAGTTGGCAGATCCCTCTTTCAATACTCCTGGGAGGATTGATTTGCTCGTCGGGGCCGAATGGTTCTGGGATCTCTTGTGTGTGGGCCAGAAGAAACTTGAAAATAATTTGGTCATGCAAAAAACTAAGCTAGGCTGGGTCGTGGGAGGACCAATGGCCGCTCCAGCGCCACAACGCGTGGAATGTTATCTATCAAAGGTGGCTAGCATAGAAAAACAATTAATTAGATTCTGGGAGCTTGAAGAACCGTCGAAGGAAGGGGCCTTATCAAGGGAAGAAGAGGCGTGCGAAGCGCATTTCAAAAGAAATACAAAACGCGACAAAAGCGGAAGGTTCATCGTTAAACTACCATTCAAACAAGAGCCGTCTACGTTAGGAGACTCTAGAAAACGAGCGGAGAAGCGGTTTTTGACACTCGAAAGAAAACTGCTGCATAACAAAGCCTTGCAAGAAGAATACTCTGCCTTTCTGAAGGAATATGAAGAGCTGGGCCACATGCGAAGAATATCGGACAATGAAGAACCGCCGCATTCATATTACCTGCCTCACCATTGCGTGATTCGATCTGACAGCGAGACAACCAAGCTCAGGGTGGTGTTTGACGCTTCTGCCAAAATGTTTGTGTATATGATTGACGTATCGTGTGTGCGCGTATGCGTGCGCCCGTGTGTACCGATGTACTAGCTGTGTGTGCGCGTATGCGTGCGCCCGTATGTATCGATGTATCGTGTGTGCGCGTATGCGTGCGCCCGTGTGTACCGATGTACTGTGTGTGCGCGTATGCGTGCGCCCGTGTGTACCGATGTACTGTATGTGCGCGTATGCGTGCGCCCGTAGGTACCGATGTACCTGTGTACGTGTGTCTGGCTGGGTCCGTTGCCTGTCGCTGCCGCGTCCGTAGGCACCTGGCTGGATCCGTTGCCTGTCGCTGCCGCGTCCGTAGGCACCCGGCATTAGGCACACAACAAATGGTGTGTCGTTGAACGACTTACAAATGACTGGCCCTGTCATACAAAATGACTTATTTTCGATTTTAGTAAGGTTCCGAAAGCACACTTACGTGATATCAGCAGATATAGCCAAGATGTACCGCCAGGTATTAGTGATTCCTGAGCAAAGACCGCTACAAAGAATATTATGGCGCGAACAGCCGGAGCAACCAATCGAAACATTCGAGCTGAACACCGTGACTTACGGTACAACGGCAGCGTCCTTTTTAGCAATTAGATGTTTGAAGCAACTTGCAATCGAATGTGAGCAGAGCAACCCCAACATTGCAAAAATCATCAAAGGAGATTTTTACGTCGACGATCTGTTGACTGGCGGGGAGACTCTCGAGGAGGTAGTCTCCATCGCTCGAGGAGTAAGTGACGTTCTAGCCGGTGGATGTTTTGAACTTCGCAAGTGGAAGAACAAATGACTGGCCCGAACAATCACGAATTTCGCGCAATATCAAAAGGTGCGAATAAACCATCAGCTGAAGTACAACTACACAAAGACGGCAACAAGCGAACATTGGGTTTGGTTTGGCGCGTGGAAAATGACATTTTGACGTACAGCGTGGACCTGCCGAGGAACAACCAAGTTACGAAACGCAGCATACTTTCAGTGACATCAATGATTTTTGACCCTTTAGGTCTTCCATCACCTTGTACTATAACGGCAAAAATTCTAATTCAAAAACTATGGCTAGAGAAATTATCGTGGGACGAAAGTTTGCCATCAAGTCTGCACTTTCAATGGACGCAATATTACAATCAACTCAAGTTGCTTAATAATTTCAGAATTCCAAGACAAGCTATGGCGCCAAACGCGGCAAAGGTACAGATACACGGATTTGCGGACGCTTCAAAAAATGCGTATGGAGCATGTGTCTACGTTCTAGTGGTGGACGTCGAATCAAAAATTCACACTAACTTATTGTGCGCAAAAACGAAGGTCGCGCCGTTGAAGACTCAAACAATTCCTCGCCTGGAGCTCTGCGCTGCGTTGGTGCTCGCCAAGCTGATCTCAACGGTCGAGGGCGCTCTTGAAGCAAGAATTGATTCCGTCACTTATTGGAGCGACTCCACTATAGTTTTGGATTGGTTACGCGCTCAGCCGAGCCGCCTGCCAGTCTTTGAATCTAATCGCGTGGCTCGAATTCAAGAATTGAGCAAGGACAGAGTATGGCGTCACGTACCTACGGAGCAGAATCCAGCCGATTTACTCTCCCGTGGAACTCAGCCGCAGGAGCTACTAAATGCGACGCTTTGGTGGAAAGGGCCTGCCTTTTTGATGAGCGGCTCTCAATTTTGGCCCAAGCGATTGGCCCACAAGATAGACTCTACGCCTGTCGAGTTTACGTTTACAGCAACGAGTTCACCGACTAACATTATCGAAGAACTCCTTTTACGATATTCTAGTCTCTCGAAAGCAATACGTATTCTCGCCTATTGCATTCAATTTATCAGCAAGCTAAAACCAGGAGGAAAAGAAAACGACGTATCAGTTATTCAGCAACGCAGATCTGCGATAATGCTGATGATAAAGCACGTGCAGAGCTCAAGTTTTCGCAAAGAAATATCCATGCTTAATCAAGGAAGTAATGTTTTAAAAGGGCCACTAGCTTCATTGACTCCATTCCTGGACAAAAACGGGGTCGTACGAGTTGGAGGTCGATTGGGGAATTCAGAGTTCAAATATGACAAGAAGCACCCAGTCCTCCTGCCAGGAGGTCACATATTTACAAAACGTCTGTTTTCCGAAGAGCATATCCTGTGGTTACACGCTAGTCCTCAATTACTTAGCGTCTATTCGTGAACGATTCTGGCCCCTAAGGGGAAGAAATTTAGCTCGCAAAACTGTCAAATCATGTACACGTTGTTTTAGAGTTAATCCGAAAGCAATGCAGCCACTCATGGGTCATCTCCCTCGAGATAGAGTGACAGCTGCATTTCCTTTTGAAACTACGGGAATCGATTACGCGGGTCCTTTCCAAATTAAGGATCGTAAAGGAAGAGGTTGTAAGGTATCAAAATGCTACATATGTCTGTTCGTATGCTTTGCCACTAAGGCTATGCACCTCGAGTTGGTGTCGGACTTAACAGCGGAAGCATTCGTAGCAACTCTGAGACGTTTCGTGTCGCGTAGGGGAAAACCGTCGCGAATTTATTCAGACAACGGAAAAAACTTCGTAGGCGGAAATAATGCTCTCAAAGAGCTTGGTAAGTTTTTGATCGAAGAAGCAAAGGTCATAAGTGAATTGATGGCAGACTATGAAATCGAATGGAATTTTATCCCAGCATACTCGCCTCATTTCGGTGGCCTATGGGAGGCAGGGGTAAAATCCGTAAAGTACCATTTAAAAAGATTCGCGGCCAACGCATTGTTAACTTTCGAGGAATTTTACACCTTGCTCGTACAAGTAGAGGCCGTTCTAAATTCCCGCCCATTAACTCCTCTGTCATCCAATCCTGACGACCTTTCTCCATTAACCCCCGCTCATTTTCTTATTGGTCGGCAATTCAACTCCGTTGTCGACCCAAGTTTGCAGCATATAAAGGAGTCTCGACTCCCTATTTGGCAAAGAGTGCAGCAGATTGAGCAAAATCTGTGGGAGCGATGGAACAAGGAGTGTATATCAGAAATGCAGCAGAGAACCAAATGGCGATCTCCATTTCCTACTCTGCCACGAGGCACGCTCGTTCTAATCAAAGAAGACAACCTTCCACCAGCCAAGTGGAGATTAGGAAGAATCGAGGATACGCATGCTGGCAGCGATGGCATAGCTCGAGTTGCGTCTATACGCACCTCTTCGGGCATTATTCGACGCGCATTTGCGAAATTGTGTCCATTACCTTTGGATGAGGAGAAGATTGTATGAGTATAGTTTAAGTACCATTTGCGTTCCTATAGTTTGTTTAAGAATAAATTAGTTTGTATTTCTACTACGATTTATTGCGAAGCAATTCACATTACATTTTTTTTGTTCCTTTTCAATTGTTTTAAAGAATGTAAGTCAACTACTTGAGTAGGGTATATAGGGGGATTCTAACCCATGGGGCTCCGAGGGGGGAGCGAGGCGAGGGGACAGCGGGGAGGGGGTACTCCGT